GGGCTGGGCGCACACGCTGCGGGCATGTGCGGGAGCGCGGCGCGGCATCATATGGACATTTGTTTGTGAAAATCTCTGTGCACACCTTTGTGTGCGTAAATACATATGGTTCTCGGAAGCGTACCTGGAAAGGTGCTTTATCTGTATTAAGCGACTTTCAAAATGTGATCCAGAGCACGGGATCTGGAGAGAAAACACGCACACAAGAAAGGATTTTTGATACTAAACACAAAGCTGTAATTGAAGTGTTTATGCCCAAATGTACTGTGAATCAAGCATATGGTGGTATTTATCATCTGGTGGGTCTGTTTGAAAGGTTTGGTCGATCAGTTCTTATTTCACAAAAATAAAATAATGTAACTAAATGTTTACTAAACATATACCTCCACGGTGGCATCCACAGTAGAAGTTTATCCACTTTGTATACTTTTTGCATGTGTGAAGCACAGCAAGGCTGTTTTATAAAGTGTACCTTTGATAAGTGATAATGTGGGCAGTATGATTGAGGGGGGTCGTTTTTAAAGAAGGGAGGCACTTCAGGTTTTAAAGCAAATGGGGTGGTAATCTTTCTAAGACTTTCAGAAAGATGGGGTGGGGCGCTTCTTAGAGCTCTGTATAAGCTCAGGACTGGAGAAGCAGCCACCCTTTTAATTAAGATACGACTTGAAACCTTTTTGTTATTTCGGTTATTACTGCCTTCAAAGCAAAATAATATTTGCAGCTTTTTCTTAAAGGTGAAGGGTACTGTTTTCCTGCTCTCATCACAATATTTGAAAATAGACGTACCGATCACTTTAAAGCGACTATCATTTCCTCTCAGTATCAGAAGCCTAAAGTTTTGCGACACACACACACACACACACACACACACGCGCACTACTTGTAACTTGCACCAGTGTGGACTCCTGGTGGCCTAAAACGTTCAGTGATTAGACAGGTGGTTTCTTGGCTAAGGTCAGTGTCTCTTTCCCCCAGGAGCCCTTGCTTGGGGGAGCTGCCAGAGGCCTTTCCTGAATGACCTAGTGGGGCAGGGAGCAGGAAAACCATCAGAGGAAAGGGAGTGGGATTGGAAACTCCCTTCCAACCACCAGAAAGAGAGTTCAAAGCATATCAGTGGTGTGGCCTTAGAGCTATTTTGATGTATGAAAGTGGGAATGTTGGATTAAACAATGTCACCCGATGGGAATTTAGATAACTGCAGGTTTCCAAAACACTATGCAGAGTGTACAGGGAAACCGCACAAAGCAAGTTTTGCATTTCAATAGGCTTCTAAAGCTGAGGCTTGTTTACCTCAAAACTAACACCTTTCTGAAGACTTTATTTCAGAATTGAGAAGAGTATAGTATCTTCCTTTTTTTTTTTTTGAGTTGATTAATGGCATAGATATCACTAAACATACCCTGTCTTCAATAAATAAACTATCTCGGTGGAGCTACTCAATGAAACATACCTATTGGCTTAGATTATTTTTTAAGTTTCATATTGTGCTACCACGGGCAGGTCTTCTCCATACAGCAGTGACCGTAAAATCAAACCCCACTTTCAGTGAATGAGGACTTCTCAACCATACAGTTCTTAAGCGTCATATTCAAAGCTGCCTACCCCACGCTTTCTCCTTCCCCTAAATGACCTCTATCCCTTATTCCACAAGGGAGGAGACACCCTCCTTCAGGTTCATAGGATCAGGCCTTCCAGCCTGAAGTTCTTATACCCTACACCAAGCTGCCTCCTAAAGTTGTTCAGCGTTAGTTGAGCCTCCTAACAATGATAATAATCCATGCATTTGTTTATATCCCTATAGTTTACAAGACATTTCTGTGCATAAATGACTGCATTTTAATATGAAGATCATCGAGTCTGGGGACTTATAAATTCATTGCAGTAAAATGTACTTTACTCACCACTGTTGGATCACACTAATTGAAGAGAGAGCAGGAGTACTTTTTTTTTCTTTGAGACGGCGTTTCGCTCTTGTCACCCAAGTTGGAGTGCAATGGCGGAATCTCAGCTCACTGCAACCTCCGCCTCCCGGGTTCAAGTGATTCTCCTGCCTCAGCCTCCCGAGTAGTTGGGATTACAGGCGTGTGCCACCACGCCCGGCTAATTTTGTGTTTTTAGCAGAGATGGGGGTTTCTCCGTGTTGGTCAGGCTGGTCTCAAACTCCTGACCTCAGGTGATCTACCCGCCTCAGCTTCCCAGTGTTGGGATTGCAGGTGTGAGCCACCGTGCCCGGCGACCTGGAGTGCTTTTAAACAAACAAACAGAAAAAATGGGGGCACCCAAATGTGGAAAGGCCTTGATTCCTCCAGCAAAGGGGGTTTTAAATCACATCACATTTTGATCCCTTTGATTTTATATTCTGGAAACTATCTGAAACAACAGTGTGGCTTCAACATTAAATACTCAGAGAAATAAACCATCACTCAGAGATCACATGTATTGTCCCATCACCCTCTAGCTGTCCCAACATATCCAGCATAAAGGATCAGGGCTGCACCAAAATACAAGCAATGATTAGACTCACTGGATGAGGAAAGAACAAAGAAGGAACTGTTGTTACTAATATTCAATACTGTGTCCTAATCTAAAACTCCCATTACACTTTGAATTAAATGTTAATGTGTTTCTAGAAAGGAGAGATTACTGTGTTATTAACAAATTGCAAAGCAAAGGAACACATTAAGAAGTTCTCTACTGGGTGCCATGGCTCACACCTGTAATCCTAGCACTTTGGGAGGCTGAGGCCGGCGGATCACTTGAGGTCAGGAGTTCAAGACCAGCCTGGCCAACATGATGAAACTTCGTCTGTACTAAAAACGCAAAATGTTAGTCGGGCGTAGTGGCAGGTGCCTATAATCCCAGCTACTTGGGAGGCTGAGGCAGGAGAATCACTTGAACCCTGGAGGGGAAGGTTGCAGTGAACCGAGATCGCGCCCCTGCACTCCAGCCTGGGAGACAGAGCGAGACTCTGATTCCAAAAAAAAAAAAAAAGTTATCTCTTGAACTTTCTAGCTAATTACTTAATGAAGAGAAATTTCATACCAGTAACTGTTATCAGAAGTTACATATGTATTATAAAATGGCTAAACAAATCCTGACTTGTTTTATTTCAGTAATATTTTCCCAAAGGGGTATGGCATGGCAAGATAGCCTACACCTTTGCAACTTTCATCGCTCAAGACATGAAACATTTTTTAAAGTTAAGCTGGTTCAATCCCAGGACTACAGGGTCTCATTACTATATGTATTTTTAAATCATCATGATGTTTTAAATTGTTTACATTAGCTCATCTACATAAAGTATCTAAAACAAACCTAACTGTATAAAAAAGACATTTGATACCCAAAATATTCTCCTAGTGCTATAACTCATTTTATATTCTTTACTCACCCTGGAATTC